AAAATGTATTAAACTATTATTTTCATTAAATTCATGTTTCATTTTATAAATATGCAAGTTGTCAACAAAATCAAAGCACAAATAGTTATATTTTTATAAGATACAGAAAAGACACACACTCATACCCGGCGCACTAAAACGAAAATTGTTGACGTTACCCGACGTCAAAAGCTAATTACGAGCACATGTAACAAAATAGTCACCGTTTTACTCAATACATTTCTTATATCGTTTTAACCAGTAATAAAAATTTGCAGATAATTTTCAGGTTTCATACGTAAAATATTATTTAACAATGCCTGTCTTATATCCTGAAATCATCCAACCTCTTTCCGTGTAAAGACGATTTATTTACAGAAAATACGGCATGATTACGTTACGAATTCATTTTTTACAGCACTTCAATTTCGGAATGATGGTTTTCCTTCAAGCATGTCATCCTGTAAACTGTTCATTCCGTCCGAAAATATTATATGCCACTTTAATACTAATAAACGGCTTCTTTTTCTAATGTTTTCCCGACTGTTAACAGAACGCGTTTGTCTCTTTAGGTGTTTTTTCGATGTCTACGCAGAATTTTATTACTGCTTACTGCTCCACCTATTCCGAAAACGTCCCTTTTTTGAACAATTCCAACTCTGTCTTAATATGTTCCAACTTTGATTGCTCAGCCATTTTGAAACTTTGAACGTTCAAATTTTGCAGGTTTGACGTGATAACTTATTTCAACCTCATAATGAAGAATTCTTCCAGATTTCCTCAGAATTTTATAAAATACAAATGAAATTTATAAAGTGATAGATAATTTCTTAATGAAAATTTTGTGGTGCTCCGGGTCTCCATTCCAAGTCTAATTATGTAGCCATAATTGTAATTAAATATTTGAAATTGAATAAAATTTTTACATTTTTCAATTAATATTTAGTAAAGGATTAGAAATATGCCAATAATAAATATCAATGACACAACTTTTATTAAATTTTTAGCTTGTCTACGAACTTTACGGACAACCCTCGTACACATATGACATCATTGGATAGGAAGAATTCCTCAATCATTTCTATATATACCGTGTAAAATCTCTGATTGAGAAGCTGCAGTTCTCTCTTTTTTGGTTATTTTTCCATCTGATTTTTAAGAATAATGTTTTCCATTCTGTTATTGTTTTTTATGTCAGTATTACAGGTCAGGATGGGTTCTCTGCTAACCTGTAGTAAAACTCTGTGACTTTGATGAACGAGAAACCTGGCATCCATGTTTTCCGACAAATTATGAACCAAAAGACCTTCCTCCGTTTAGCCTTCGACAAGGATGTCTAGGTAGCTGTGGACTGTGTTAGTTCTGCGAACAGAATTGAAACATGGCATTTACAGAAACGATTACTGTAAACAAATTATTATACGCGTCATTTTTTTATTCGTGACTGGCCGCTGGAGAACTAATCCGCGACGATTTATTTCCGCGAACAAGTGGTCATATTTTTTTTTTAATTTCCACAAGTATTTTATTTTTTGCATCAAAATTTCATATCCGCTCATAAACTAGGTAAAATGCTACCGTGAGTACTGCTTATGTATTATTTAAGACATTCTGTGGATTGCGTCTATTTTAAAAAATCTTATATCCGCAACCAAAGTAGGTAAAATGTTTCCATGAGTATACTTCTTACGCATTATTCACGGCTCTCGAATGAAAATCGGTAAACAAATAATAAAGATTTAAGTTGGTTTAAGACTCTCAAGTGTAGAAGTACCTCGTGTTTATTGGGTAATTGATGCTTTACAAGATCTACATAGCCAAAGGGCAATTATTATAAATGGTTGGGACGGAGCAGGACTGGGCCATAATTAGTCGTAATTAACCAGGCTATCTCTAACTCGTCTGTGACAATAAATGAACAATGATAACACAAGCTGAAATATTTATTGACATTTTAATTGTTTTAGACAAATATTTTTAGATTTTCCATTCGTTTATATATATTTTTCTGAATGTTTGTAATAAAACTTCAACTCTTTCTAGAACACTAAAATTCTTCCGTGATCACTTATTGAACCGTCGGGATCGGTACACAAATAAGGGCAAATAACTCTAATCATAACATGGGAAAATGAACAACTGGTTCGCGACGATCAATATCCGCGAGCAGAGGTTACTCGCGGAACTCGCGGATATTTATCGCACGCGTTTAATACTTGGTTTACAGTATCTCCTCTCAACGGCAGACGTTAGAATTATCCAAAAGTGAAGTTAGTTCTTTAAGGCTGTAGATTATCTTAGCATAGAAAAACAAAGAAACATTACAAAGAAAGATTAATTTTCTAACTGAGGGGTGGACAAAAGAAAACAGGAATTATCAAAGAAAGAATCAGGAAATTGTTAGAAAAAAAAGTCTTATCGAAACATTGCTGAAGTTTACAAGAAACAAAAAACTAAATAAGTAATGTGTTGTCATTCATACGTAGAGCATGCTCTTGCGTATCGAATCAACTGAGATATAAATACTCAGTATGCAGGTGATGAAGGTATATTGCTGCATAAGTAAGGGAAGTTGACGATAGAAAAGTTAAAGTCATCACGTTTATCATATAGCTTGGTTGTTAGATTACCATTAGTGTCTTTTTCAAGTAAAATATCCAAGTATGAAGCAGAAGTGTCGGACTCTGTGGTATCTTTTATCTCAAGCTCACCAGGATAAATCGTGTCGACGTAGGAATGGAAATTATCATTATTAATTGACAATACGTCGTCGATATATCTAAATGTCGAGTTGAAGGCCACAGCAAGTGTTTTCTTCTTTTCACGCAAAAGATTTTGCATAAATTCTGCTTCATATGAAATTAAAAATAAGTCTGCTAATAACGGGGCGCAATTTGTACCCATGGGAATTCCAATAGATTGTTGGAATACCTGGTCTCCAAAAACCACATAGATATTGTCAATCAGAAACTCAATAATAATAAATTTCTAGAATATAAAGAAAATGTTAACCTGTGACGTACAAATTCTACCCTTCTGAAACCATCCTTATTATTCTATACTAATATTTTTCAATTCAAATACCATTTTTTGTGCAACTTTGAATAGAAATGTAAACACTACATATTGTATTCATTTAAAGAAGACTCTAGTTGTTATTTTAGTAGTTTTTGACAAAAGTTTTTTCGTGTCATCTGTCCCTAAAGTCGAAATGTTAAGATAAGATTCAAGATGTGCTCGGTGCTTTCTACGAGCTTCTATAATGTGCTCGGTTCTGTCTACATTCTTCCAAGATGTGCTTGGTGCTGTCTACGAGCTTCTATGATGTGCTCGATTCTGTCTACATTCTTCCAAGATGTGCTCGGTGCTGTCTACATTCTTCCAAAATGTGTTCTGTGCTGTCTACGAGCTTCTATGACGTGCTCGATTCTGTCTACATTCTTCCAAGATGTGCTCAGTGCTGTCTACGAGCTTCTATGATTTGCTCGGTTTTGTCTACATTCTTCCGAGATGTTCTAGGTCCTGTATACGTCCTAATTCCTGCTTTTTACTGCTTTTGTACATAAAAAATCAAAATCAATTCATGAATTTAAAAAAAAAAAAAAACATTTAAAAAGCTACACCTTTAGGGACTTTTATGCTTTATTTTAATTACATTACGTTCCATGTATCCATGTATATTTGTATATATTATATGTTAATATATTTTTATACAGACCTTCTACAACGCCATTGAATATATTGATGTAAAATAGGCGTTTGATTAAAAAAAACAGATTCAGTTTCAGTTTATATGATGTGCTCGGTGCTGTCAAAGTTCCTCTTATATCTTTTCCTTGTGGTCCTTTGAAATTGATTGAAAAGTTAATAAAGCAATGATGATGCATTGTGTTATATGAACATTTGGAGGCTAATGTAAAAAGTTTGAATTAATCAGTATATTTTTTTTTTTTATAATTTCTGAGAATCATAGTAATGTCATCAGATAATTATTTCTTTGAGATTTTCTTTCGAAAGAGCTGATTTTTTTTAATTTCATTCAAGAAAATATATACCAGTATTATAAATCCTCATTTCAAAGATAACAAATGAAAAAAAAAAATCACAACATAAGAGGCATTAGCTTAGTAAAATATACAGCACACGTTTATTGTATATTTTAACGAGGCCGAGTCTAATTCGAGTGCGCATCACTTTGCGAGTGCACATCAGCTTTTTAATTTCAAGCAGTCATTAATTATTTTAATTTTAATACAGAATTAACATTATTTGTAACTCCTACTGATATGAAAATGTGTCTTTACGACAATTATTGGAAAAAGAACGTTGAAATGGCTCTAACAACGTCACCATAGATATGTTTTTTTACCGTAATATGGCAATTTTAGAGGTATTTTTCTTCGACCTAGAACCATCGAGATGGTGAACTTTTTTGAAATTTCACAATTTGGTGACTTTTTACATTTACTTTCATTTACTTGAATGAAAAAGAAATCCCTAGGGCAGAAGTACAAAAATATTGAAAAAAATTATTTTCCAACAAATTCCCATAGTGTCCAATAGTAAAGTTTGACAACATTTAAGATGGCCCACTAAGAAAACGGGGTGGTAAACATTTGATATTTTAATCCTAAAACAATAAATATAACAGTAAAAATTAATTATCAAAAAATTATCAAAATCCCTAGGGCGGAAATAATTAGACTCGGCCTCGTTAAAATGCAATTTCAAAATATACACTTATGAAAATTCATATTAAATTCAATAAAATCGATACATAAACAACTGTAAAATATAGAGTACGTAACAGTTAGCCAATCGCTTTTCAGGCATTGATTAAGGTACGACATATATATTTGGCTGTAGAAGGACCATTCGGCAGAATATCACAGATTCACAAGAACACAGCAGTCTTTTCTCTTAAGAAAGAAAAAATGGGCAGTCAGGCGGTTATCACTTTAATTGTAGGCTTCTTAGCTTTATCTAAAGCTACAATTTTTTCTCAGAAATATACCGCGAAAATGGAATTTAATGATAAGAAATCAAATTATGAACTTTTAGGGGAATACAATGTTCATTCGTTGACCGAGTGCGCTGCGTTGTGTCAAAGTGAGTGCGGCTTCTTTGGTTTCAGCTATCAAATGAAGAAATGCCGCACCCACAAGAAAAGTCTTACGTCTGAGCTGTCTGATGAGGCCGGTTGGAGATACTACTCAGTTGACGGTATGTATATTTTTAATTTTTTAAAATCTTTCTGTTTGCTTCTTTGTTGTTTTTAGATCCCTCTTGAAAAGACACGATTTTTTTTTCTTTTACACTTCGTTTTACCTAGTTTAAACAATTGTATTTTCAAAATAATTTATTCTAATGACATTCTCATCTCTTTGCTGATTTCTTTCCTTTATATATCTTTTTTTTTTATTTTGAATTATTTTTTAATTTGAGATTGATTGAATTATACTTAGTGATTTTCTCTATTTCCAATTTTCTCTTTTTTATATTCCTTAGCATGTAATGGAAAACATAAGATTTGTAACAATGATCAGTCCAAACCATTGGAAAAGTTTGGCTTTTTATAACTAAATAAACGAAAAAAAAACTCATTTTAAGTAGTATCTCAAGATTTCTATGTTAAAAACAGCTGTTCTGAAAGCTAAGATGTGAAGCCTGTACCACGGAGGATTAAACATTCCCTGTCGATCGATCAGACATTATACCATACATCAAAACGATATCATGAATTTACTTCAATTTTCAACATCTATTTCTGTGTCAAAATTGGTTGTCATCTTATCTACAATCAATTTCTCTTCCACATTTCTTTCAGTCAAACAGAGTATTGAAAATGATTTAAATACTTTTAGTCATGTCATCAATCGAAGATCTTTATTTATCAAAAAACAAGAATGATTTTTAATAACATGGAACAGTTTAACATAATACGCATTATACGCATTATACACGAAATTAACATTTTAGCATCAACAATTAACATATATATACCATGCAGGCATTATAGATTCTCTTACTTTTTGTACCTATACATTGTATGATTCTGGTATTTTTGTTTTAAGTTTTTACTAGCACGCCCAAAGATTGCAAGGATCTTCGAGAAAAAGGACAAACCATCACAGGGGTGTATGATATATACCCCTACCGTACACTAACAGTACCGGTCCGTGTTTTCTGCGATATGACCACAATGGGCGGGGGGTGGACGGTAGGTTGTTTAAATTAGAATTAAAAGTACTTAATATAATACACATTGTTTGGTGGTTTTAAGGATTGAAGGATTGTATTGTAGTTTATATCATAACATATGGATCCTATTAATGTTTGAAGCAATAAATTGAATTGTAATGAATTTTAATTTTCAAAGGCCATTCAGAAACGCGTAGACGGATCCGTGTAGTTTATATCATAACATATGGATCCTATTAATGTTTGAAGCAATAAATTGAATTGTAATGAATTTTAATTTGCAAAGGCCATTCAGAAACGCGTAGACGGATCCGTGTAGTTTATATCATAACATATGGATCCTATTAATGTTTGAAGCAATAAATTGAATTGTAATGAATTTTAATTTTCAAAGGCCATTCAGAAACGCGTAGACGGATCCGTGTAGTTTATATCATAACATATGGATCCTATTAATGTTTGAAGCAATAAATTGAATTGTAATGAATTTTAATTTGCAAAGGCCATTCAGAAACGCGTAGACGGATCCGTGTAGTTTATATCATAACATATGGATCCTATTAATGTTTGAAGCAATAAATTGAATTGTACTGAATTTTAATTTTCAAAGGCCATTCAGAAACGCGTAGACGGATCCGTGTAGTTTATATCATAACATATGGATCCTATTAATGTTTGAAGCAATAAATTGAATTGTAATGAATTTTAATTTGCAAAGGCCATTCAGAAACGCGTAGACGGATCCGTGTAGTTTATATCATAACATATGGATCCTATTAATGTTTGAAGCAATAAATTGAATTGTAATGAATTTTAATTTTCAAAGACCATTCAGAAACGCATTGATGGATCCGTGATCTTTGACAGGTTCTGGGCGGATTATAAAAATGGTTTTGGTTCACCAGAACAAGATGTCTGGATTGGTAAGTGTAAATTGATTTCAAATAAAAAACTTTTTATTCCTTCAAAGTTTGAAGATAAAAATATTCTTATTGCAGGTAAAAAAAAAAATTAAAGCGTAATAAAGATCTAAATTTACGACTAGGTAATGTGTATTCTACGATATTCAGACATCATGTTTAATTGATATCTAAAATATACAAAAGAAGAATATCATTTAGCGACATATTCTTAAGAGACCAAATTTAGAATTATTGTCTACAGCTATGGGAAATAATTTGATTTTTCATTACGGTAGATTCATATAGATTTTTTAAACATTAATTGTATTCGATGAACTTTTCAGATGATTTCAAATATATCTTAATACAGGAAATGACGTAATCCATCAATTAACAAAAGAAAAAACCTCATCCCTGTATGTGTCCATCACTCTCCAGAATGGTACAACGCTGTATGAAATGTACGACGGATTCTCCGTCTCCGACGAAGCTGGAAAATATCAACTCTTTCTTGCAGGACCTGACACGGGGACTTTAGGTAAGTGTACCAACGTTAAGCTCCTAAAATTAGGTCCAAATTACTCATATTATCATTATAATACTAATCTGTATTGAAATATTATTAAGTTGTTAAAAAAAAGAAAGATACTTTTTTTTATTCTGTATACGTTTTTGATTCCATACTTAAACATTTTAATATTTCAGAATATCATTTGCAGGTACAATTCACGAATTCAGCAGACATTGAATTGGATTTTTCCAAGAAGCTAGAATTTCAAATTATTTATTTTATGTACAAGGAAAATCATGTAACTATATTAATCAAACAAATCCAGTAATTACATTCACTCAATCATTGCTATTCAGCTTGGGTTTCCTGATAAATTTTAATAATTCACATTTTATCTACTACGGAGAAACAAGTTTACAGAGTTAAAATGATCTATTATGTCAACATTTTCACAAAAAAATATTGTTAAAAGAAAATTATTTGTTCGGAAGCATATTCAAATGAAGAAAAAAAACAACACCGCAACGTGTTTCTCATTTAGTATATCTTTTCTCTGTTAAAATTTAGTCTGATATTCAATAGTTCACATTTTAACTACTACGAAATAGGAAGTTTACAGAGCGTAAATAATCTTAAATGTCGAAACCTTTACAAAAATTTAATGATAGAAATGATCGGAGATTTTTTGAAAAAAAAAAATTAATAATCTACAATCAGAACACCTCAATGCGTTTCACATTTACATGTACATATGCTTTATTGAATGAAAACCTAATATTTGAAAACATTTACAGATACACCATATCTGATATCGTTCTTATAATGAATGAGTTATACGTATTGCATTTCATACATTTTGAGAAGCACGGTCTCTGACATGTATGAATATATAATTAATTCATGTTTTCTGATATTTCCAGTGACCTCCAAACATACAAACAAAAAAAAAAAATACCAGCTTTAAAGGTGTAACACTCCTGTGATTTTTTGTTACACTACAAAGGATGCAGTGTGAATTTCGCAGTGTTTTATTGACTTGTATTTTGTTATCTGATTTAAATTAGAAATTCATAATTATTATCTGTACTATATATTTTCTGTAATTCTGCAGGTGCAAGTATGATACACAGTGGGGATTCTAGGACTGAACTAAATAGATATTATCTCTCTTTCCATCACCTTAAGCTATCTATCTTAGAAGTACCTAAGTATTATTATTAACAATTTAACAATTATGAACAATTGAAGATATATAAATCCATTGTCTCTGTGATTCCTTTTGTTTAATATTACAGGGGACAGTATGTTAGACACTGGTTCTTCTTATGGTGATCTGTCCGGGATGTCCTTCTCCACTCCAGACAGAGATAACGACTTGTGGAGGGGTGGTAACTGTGCTGCTTCCAGTAACACTAGAGGTGGCTGGTGGTTCAACTACTGCCACTGGGCCTTCCTTAACGGCCTCTGGCCCCCGGCAGACTGGATAAGTCCCTGGTATCCCACAGTAGAGAGTGGGCCGTCAGTGAAGGGGACCACCATGATGATAAAACGTCACTAGGTAAACCTCATTAAATATTAATAATAAGTTGTTTTTTTTCTTTTCATATCACTGTGAAAATTTCAGTTATAAAAGTTTTTTAATAGAAAAAATATGCTATATTTTACATGTTTCTGTGAAGTATTTATTTAATTTTTTAACAGATGAGTGATCATTCATGGAGTATGCTACCTCAAGAGATAATTAAAATTAATTTTTATCCCTGAGTTATTTTTTTTATATTTAACATCAAGTAATAAACAGTAAAAGAAGGGGGTTGAACTGCTCTGTAAAGCTATACTGAATGTATTCAGTAAAAGATGTACTTTATATGTTTTGTAATAAATTTGAAATTAGAAATATTTCGTTCTTTTTTCCAAACACTGATAAATGGAGATAACTGGACGGAGAATTGGGATGATGATTGATTTATTGTTAAACCTGTTTCATTGAAAACTGTTTAATCCGACACACGCAATACTCTTTACTGTAATTTCAGCCATTTAATTTCATTTGTCATTTATACTTATCTCAATGATCTTTACACGCTGCAATACTACACCTTGTTTATTCCAACACAGCTGTTCCCCGTGCATATCGGATAAGACAAGTTTCATTGTAATAAGGATGTTTTTTAATAATCATAGGTTTATTTGATCGTCATGTTTTGTGGAAATACACCTAAGATTATACTTGTCTAAAAACATATCCTCATCTTTTTCCATGCATGCAGTATTTTGAATGTATGAGCATTTATTATCCATTAATCTACTTAAAACCGCTTAAATTGAAATTATTGTTATTTTTTAATATCATGGAGAAAATAAGCTAAAATGTTGAAGTGAGGCGTACTAAATATTTCTTTCCACCAGTCTAATTATACCATAAATATATTTAGATAGCTTGAATTTTAGGTGTGGCAAGAAACGCAAAGATACTAGATTGTCAATGATACCTGATTATGAGATTAAAGTAAAAAAAAAATAACATTTTCTGAAGATCAATATCTTCTATTGCTACAGATAATCATTAAAAAATAAATCTTTCTGCTCTTGAATGCACAATATACGTTATAGTAGACTTATACCGATACTGTAACTTTTTTTTGTGTTTTCTTTTTATTTCAAAACACCATAACACAGATCAGGGATTAAAAGGTTACATGTGTATTATGCGTTTTATTTGGACGTCACAAACGTTAAAAACAAAATTTGAAATCATTTTAATTTATTGCTATTTAGGTTAGAGATAATTCAAATAAGTTAAAAAAAGAAATCACATTTCAAAACAAAACAAGGAGTTAGAAAAAAATGAGCACTGATTTATTATTTTTTGAAAGATGTTATATTATATCTGCAACTGCCTTTGCAAATAAAACTTAGCAAGCTAACATTAACCAATATGTTTGCAAATACTTTTGCAATTATTAGACTACATCTTTAAAAAAAAAAATGATTAAATATGTGTGACAAGTCATCCTCTATTGTGCAATGTGTAACTATGGTTTATATACTAGTATATCCAAAAATTTGATAGACTACAACTTGAAATTTGTTATTAAATCAATAGGAAAAGTTTTAGGAGCTAATGATAAAAATTCAAGATAAGTTTGTGAAACAAAGAGGCTTATGATTAATGTTGTCGTTTGTAGGTCAAACACAAAGGTCAATATAAACTAGTTTTGGTACCAGAAGAAAAGTTCCTCACAATGAGTCTACCTTCAAGAAATAAAAACCATAAAAGCAGCAACAGTTCAGTAATTATGACCAAAGTTAGAGATTTTCAAAAGTAGGTCAAACTGGACAAGGTCAAGGAGTCAATTTAAATAATATCCAAAAGTTTTTGAAAAGTAGGTCAAATCCATAAGTTAAAGGTTAAAGGTCATTACTTCTTGTATTCAGGAGAAGATCTTATCAAAATATGAGCGTGAGGAGTATGATATCACTTGATTTAACTGTGTAGTAGCTATGGCTAAGAATAAAATTTTGAAAATTTCTTTAAAAGTGAGTCAAACATAAAGATCAAAGTCAAAAATACTTTTACCCTAGGAAAAGTTTTTACACGTGGAATACACCAGTGAAATATTAAAGCCATAGCTCATTGATCAAGGCTTCAATTATCATATGAAAGTCAAAATAAAGAAAAAAATTAAACCCAAGGATGGGTCCTTTTATATTATATACATCTGTGAAATATGAAATCCATAGCTCAAACCAATTAAAGGCTGCAGTCAGGGCTAATTGATTTTCCCACTTACAGATAAATCAGAAAAAAAATCATAAACAAACAGACAGATGGACAAATCGTCAAAGCAAAATATATTTGTCCCTTATTTTTGGATTACGGATAGAAATTAATAAAAAAAAAATAACACTATGTGCTAAAATGTTGTGTGGTGTGAAGAGATACCGGCGTAAGTTTCCTTGGGAAAATAAGTAAACAATATTATGCACAGTCTGTCTCAGTGAACATGCTATTCATAGTTTATTTTAAACATAAGGATAAATCTAGATCTCTTCTGAGGAGACAAATTATCGATCCGAAGTAAACTTAAGAAGACTCCACTTAATGATTTAGAACTTTTTACACCATACTTACTTAAATTATATATAAAACGTATAATGGTTGCAAATGTTTATTTTAACCAAAAGAAAATGAAACATTATGTTACAAAACATTCTTCAGGCTCCAAATAAACCGGCGAATTCTCACAAATAAAGGGGAGTTTTAGTCCTTCTTCTCCTGTATAGTTTCTCTCAGTCACCCAGCGCCACCTACTGTCGTTATGATAAATCAAAAGGAGGCCAAAGATTGGGTCAACTGCTGTCTCGCTCTCATCGTTAGGATTCGAGTTCTGATACGTCACTGGTGTCCAATTATCAAAAATGAATCTTTCATTGTCGTCAAATGTCTAAACATTGGCACGAAATGCAAATGAACTGTTGAGATCAACTTCTGCAAAAAAGAACAAGAAAAAATTATATCATACTCCAAAACCTATCCTTTTGTCATAGCTTACTTGTATTTTTAAGGATTAATACTATCTTGTATAGAATGATTTAAAAACCATCTACAAAATATGGTTTGTTGCTTAAACTGCTGTATACACTAAAACACTTGATAAAATTTGATCTGCTGTATCCAAATTTAATTGACATTTAAGGTTAATGCATCCTCTTTTGCGTGGTAGCAATATAGATAATTTTCTAACGAGCATAATCAAACCTAGGCAAAACTACAATTCAATTTGAAGAACAGAGGAAAAAAAGTACGGTTATGTGCTGTTCGATTTTAAAATATTGTTTTTGAATGAAATAAGAAATCCCCAATTTTGACACATTGCGAAAATATATTTCCATATTTAATATGACTTTTTTTTATCTAAATGTTAAAAATCAGATTTGTTGATCGCAAAAAAAAAATCCCAATATTTATCAGAAGTTTTTGTACATGAATTACATATTTTTCTTTTGAAAGAATATATATCTTTAATCATATGTAAATAAGAGAAATTTGACAAGAACATTATTTGCCATTGTATTTATGTGATAAAAATGAAAGCATGTTATGGATAAATTCTTTCATTATATACTCATGTGTATAGTATTTACGCCTCAGGAAGGATATAGAGATAATGAAAAGTATTCAATATCAAAGTCCATAAAACAATACTAAATAGGAGCAGAGCAAACACGGACCTCCGAAACATCAGAGATGGGATCAGGTGCCATAGAGTAGCGATTATTCACTGATGACTGGTCACACCAGCCATGTGCTCTTTATCATGATCGGGAAATAACTGAGAAAAGCCGTCGTCAATTCAGTGTGTAAATAACGGAATAACAATCAGTAAGCAAAACGTCAGTCGGCCTTTGACTCAATGATAACTTGTATTTGCTGACAAGGTCATTGTATCGACCATTGAACTTACGAAATGATGACTTAAACGAGACTGCTGATATTCTTTTTTCATCAACTTGCTTGTCAATAATTTAGCTCGTTTTAGAAATTGTTCATAGGTAGAGCATGCTCTTGCGTCTCGAATCAACTGCTATTTATACACTCAGTACACAGGTGATAAAGGTATATTGCTGCAGAAGTAAGAAACAACAGCCTGTACTAAAAATTGTTTTTTTTTTTAACCAGAATTAATAAAGTCAAGTTGTGTGTAAAGAAGATTATTTGATTACCCAGATGGAAACAAATAACCATTTAATGCACTATATTGTTCAAGTACCCGGATGTATGCGGTTTACGCCTAAAAACCTCCCATATCCATCCCCATACCAGACAAGAAGCTCTTCGCCCGGCTCTACGTCACGTGACGTCATATAGAAGATGATGCCCTCGCACGTGATAGGAATGACATTTTCTTGGTGATATTTGGCGGGAGAATTAACGAAAAGTAACCAGTTACTATAGACCGGATCTTTTACATCTATGTTGTAAGTACCATTGGCCCCCTGCTTATCTACCTTTTAAAACAATAAGATTCTACTTGTTAAACATTAATTTCAGGAACATAATTGTTAAGAAATAATTTCGTTTCGGAATAATTAAGGATTAAACAAATCTAAAATTTAATGCCTTGTGAGCGTGTTCCCCTACCGGAAAGTTTAATGTGGTTCCCCCTAGAACATGTGGAATTGAAAATTCCAGTTTTATAAAAAAATATTAAAGCAGAAAAAAAAAATCAAACTTGATCTCTACAATGTAGCTCATCAAGGTCAAACAAGAAATCTGCTCATGTTTGCAAGCATTTAGAACAAATAAGAAAGAAGCATTGAAGCGTAGCAAAATGCAAACTTGATCTGCAACTGATCAAAATACACTTACATACAAAAAATCAGCTCAAAATCTGCCAGTTTTTACATGAAAAAAATACAGAAAACCAAGTGGGACAGACAGAAACAGGGGCAGAAGGACAGCTAGACGGACAGATATACAGACGGACGTTTGCAGTGGAAACATTTAGTCCCTCAGCTTCATTTCGTTTTCATTTTGCTTGATTATCTTTATGA